AGCATACTGAAATGACCCTGATATGCAGCAACAACCTTCTACCTTCTAGTAATAAACCTACATTGCTTTTCCCTATCTGACCCTGTAACCACTAACCTGAACCTCGCATTTATCATCATTCAGCTTTTTAAAAATATTTGGGGGTTTTGTTGTTGTTGTTGTTGTTCATTTTTTGTTTTTGTTTTTGTTTTTCTCAAGACTGGGTTTCTTTGGGTAGCTTTGGAGCCTGACCTGAAATTTGCTCCATAGACCAGGTTGGCCTCGAACTCACAGAGATCCACCTGGGTTTAAAAGCATGCCACACCACAGCCCAGCCAGATTTGTCTTATTTTAAATTGTGTGTGTCTGTGTGTCTGTGTGTCCATCCCATGAGTGTGGGTGCCAGCTGAGGTCAGAAGACCCCCTGGAGGTGGACTTAACACATGTCTGAGTCACTTGACATGGGTGCTGGAACAGAGCTCAGGTCCTCTAGAAGAGCACAAAGACGTCCTTAACTGCTGAGCCATCTCTCCAGGCCCAGACACCAACTGGAAGTAATGTGCCATAAAGTTCACAGCATAGGATGTAAGGAAAAAGGCCCAACACAACCAGAAAGATGCAAATTACAAGGGAATGCTTATGGTGACTTGCACTCAACACAAGAAAAACATGGATTCTGTGCAGGGGCCACTAATTTGCTCAATGGATAATTTAGATTTAAGGACAATATTGCAAACGAAAACAGCAGGGTAATCGTGTCTTCCAATGATAATGAGCATTTAAGAAAATACATTACCCACTTTATAAACCTAGTATCTAGGAATGCCTCCTCTTGCTTCTTTGGGTTGTTTGTGATCTAGGAACTTTTTAGAACATTGCCTTTATTTAATAGAGTGCATCTCTCTGCGCTTGAAGCAGTAGTCCTGAAGCCACAGTAAGTCAGATCCACTTCACTTAAATGCTCCTGAAATTAGCTCATTGAAAAGGTATAAAGTCTTTGCTTCTTTTCCTAACAAAACAATAGAACAGAATTCCCAATAATGGAATCTTTGTTCAGTAAGAAATGAAACCACTTGTGATGCAAGCCATGCAAACACAGGCTAGAGAGACTGCTCATCTGCCCAGGGAGGATGCTAACATGCCCAGAAAACAAAAGGCTGGCAGCTTTATCAGGACAAAGAGAGAGCCACACACATCATGAAGAAAGCACATTCGCACTCTTGGTGCTGAGGGGGCGGCAGGGTAACCGGAGAGCAGCAGCAATTACTAAGGAAAGCTAGTCGTAATTCAGCAGTCCCCTGGCAGTTGCTGGGAAGGAAAAAGTAGTCTTAAAGAACAAAGCATGCTTTCTCTGTATGGGCCTAGCAGAGTCAACTGGGAAATTTTTGTTTGTAATGATTTATTTTTATGTGAATGTATATGTGAATATACACTCCACATGTGTGCCAGTTCCCAAGAAGTCCAGAAGACTGTACCTGATCTCGAGCTGTTGTTACAGGTGCTTGAGGGCCATCCACTAGATGTGGGTGTAAAGAACCCAACTTGGGTCTTTTGGAAGAGCAGAAAGTAGTCTTAACTGGAAAGCATCTCTCCAGCTCCACTTTTGTTTTTGAGGTGCCTTGTATTAATGTCGCTGCTTCAGAAAATGCAGGTGTTAAGATAACACGGACTCTGAAAGATAAAAGTTGCATGTTCTTTATCATATGAAGACCTAGCCTGTGTTTATATGGCCGTACATAGCTGTCTGTGAATGTACATGTAGGGTATGAAACTAGAAAGGGAACCATTAATCAAAGTGCTAAGTGGGGCAGAGGGCAGAGGGGTCAAGGACACAAGAAACATGAACATGAAAAGGTTATGGGTGGATAGGTGGAAGGGTACAAGGTAGGTCAGGGATGGAGAAGTAGGGAAGAGAATCAAAAACAAATCTTGTTTGAAAATGCTATGGTGAAAACTTATACTGATTTAAAAAAAAACAAAGTACATGTTCTGTGGCAAAAAAAAAAAGTCTTGACTAATTTTAAAAAGTAACAGTAATCATTATAGATTTGGGACTTACATTTTGTTCATATAAATTTTGAATTATAAAATATGGTTATTAAAATATACAATTATCTCTGAGCCTCTGAATTTTCTAACTAAAAACAGAGCCCAACCAAGGAGAGACATTTAATCCCATAACTAGAAAAGCCATCTGAGTATGGGGCTTGCACACACACATGCATGTCAGTGTGTTTAACAGTGTGGTTTCACCCTTATGTTACCCTACTGTAGAAAAAGCCTGCAGTACTGTTTTCAGGACTAGGTCATGCTAGAAAACTGGCACGATAAAAAGAAAGAAAGAGACAAACAAAAAACCTGCTCAATGGTCCAGGGTTTACTTTGGGGGTGGGAAATGTTCTGGAAATAGGTAGAAGTACAGTTGTACTCCCTTGTGGATGTACTGGATGCTACCAAATCACACTTCAAACCACAGAAATCATCCCTGCAGGCCAGCCCGAGGGCTACAGGTAAAGGCACTTGCCACCAAACCTGAGAACTTGAGGTCAATCCTGGAACCCACAGTGGAGACAGAATTGACTCCTGAATGCTGTCTTCTGACCTCCACACACGCCACGGCACACATGCACATGCACCCAAATAAAATTAGATTGTAAACGATCCCTGAAAGTAGAATTTTTAAATTACACTTTTTGTTTGATTTGGATTACATTTTTAAGTAGTTGATTTCACATTATATAGGACTCATTTAGGGAAAAAAAGGGGGAACTACATCATCATCACCAACACCTGAACTCCATCCAGGACCAATGCTCCTCCTGTATCGGGAACCCTAAGCCTGCAACTGTACTGCCCCTGAAGTCAGAATTTCTAAAAGCACGGGAGTTTCCTTGTGCTGCCTGAGCAGATGTTTCTAATTGGCCACAGACAGGTTATTCTCTGTGCCCTAGAAGCCACCAAGCAGTCCCAGGGGAGCAAGACAGAGTTCTCTCAGACATCAAAGGCCCCTTGAAATATGTGAACCTCCTCAGGACAAGCATTCAGTCATTGGGAGGCATCGGGGATACTAAGACTGCGTGTACTGTGACTGCATGCGATTCCGTGTGTAGTGTGTGTATGTGGGTGTGCTCACCTGCGCATGCAAATATAGATGCCAGAAGTATCCTCCTCTATCACAGAGGTTCTCAACCTGTGGGCTGTGACCCCTTTGGGGTCACATATCAGATATTTACATTACAGTTCATAACAGTAGCAAAGTTACAGTTATGAGGTAGCAATGCAATAATTCTGTGGCTGAAGGTCACTACAACAGGAGGAACTGTATCAAAGGGTCGCAGCATTAGGAAGGCTGAGAACCACGGCTCTAGAACCTCCATTTTGTTTCTTGAGATGGTCTCTCACTGAACCTAGGGCTCTCAATCAGCTAGATGGAGTCAGCCCCAGGGATCCTCTGCATCTCTTCCCTCAGCACTGAGACTCCAGGGGTGCACTATGGCATGCAGCTTTCCTTTCTTTAAGGGCGAGTGCTGGGATACAAACTCAGGCTCTCACACTTGCACAGATGCACTCTACCCATCCACTCCCCGTGATTAAGTTCTAAGAGAGAAATCTTTGCACCTTTCACCACCCAGAAAGTGTGGGAGCAAGCTTGCATATTAACACATCCGATTCCTGCCATTGCTCATTAAACTCTAACACCCTCATTTCCAGCTGAAGGACACTAGGCCTGTGTTGTCTAATTGGCTGGCTTCCTCCTGAGCATCATATTCTAGTGGGATGTGACTAACCCTCAACTTGTCGAGTCTCAAGTACATGCTGTTCAAGAAGTGACCCCAAAATGTCATCCTTGGTGTTACCAGCAAAACAATATTTATACCTACATTTTCACCCAGCGAGTGTGTGCTTCTTTTGTACTGTGAAACATCTTCACAGCGCTGTCCACCACTCTTTTCATCTTCTTCGTATTTTATCTTTTCCTCATGTTGGTGACCATGCAGTTTGCTCTGCTTCCCAGCCCGTATTAAGGGATCTCTGAGAAAGGACAGTGCTATTACACACATTACCATTACATTACACACTGGGCAGATGTAAGTGCCTATCACAGACAAGGCATTCGGGGAGCCACAGAGAATAAAGACTTGACCAGTTCATATTAAACCAGTTATTTTCATGCTGTAATAGAAAAAAAAAAAACTTGCTTGCCTCTTCCATTCTACTTCGGATATAGTGTCATACTGCCTCAATTATAAAAATAAATTTTTGCACAAATAATTTCATCTGGTACTACAGTTACACACAGTCCGCTAGCTGCTAAACGCGTGGTATTCTTCCTATACACTGTTACAGTAAGAATGCCATCAGAGCATCCATCTCAGGCTCCTAGAACAAAACCAGAGAGAATACTGGACTGTTTTATGTTTGAGTCAAATTAAAATGTACTGTTCATATGCTATAAGGGAGCGATTCAATGTTTTTTAAACTTCTGATAAGCAAGTGGCAATATTTTGGCCACAGCTATAAATCCATCCACTGTCCCAGTAACAACTGCAGGAACTTCCAGAATCTTGGAAAGTAATTAGTGAGTATCCATTGCTAAGGTAAAACTCTCTCACTTAACAATGTAAAAGGCCAGTTGTCACTATTCACTGAGGTATTCCCATATAAGGTAGCAACTGCTTTTCTTTTCTTTTCTTTTCTTTTCTTTTCTTTTGAGACGGGATCTCAAATATTCCAGATTGACCTGGAATTCATTATGTAGCCAAGGATGACCTTGAACTTCTGATCTTCTAGCTTCCACCTCCCCTGTAACCCAGATACTATAGGCACGTACCCCTGGGTTGCCAGCATATACCACCTATATGGCACTAGGGCTTAAATCCAGGGCCTTATGAATATAAGACAAGCACCTTATGTCCCTAGCGGAGTAAAAGCTTTAGAAAGCCAACAAAATAGACAATGTTGTCTTTTTCTATTAAAATCTATGATTAAAATTTGCTAAAGAAATATGAAGACTACAGAAAAAAAGTGGACAGTAAAATGTTTAATTCTTTCCAAACACAAAAGTAGAACAAATGATACAGTGGTTTATGAACGACGGGACTAAGTAAAATAGGAATGCATTCATTGCTGACATGAGAAAAACAACTTCACAAAGCATTAGTTGTATTATTTTTTGAGTGTCTTGGGTTTGACTGTGAGAAAATTAATAGTATTGAGACCAGATATTGATCAGCTATAATGAGTAGTTCCTCCAGTAAAAACCAAGTTTAACCCCAGCCACCTACCCTCTGAAGCTTCACATTCCTTTGTAAAACTAATGACATCAACTCAAAGTTTACTGGCTGGGGTTCCTCCCCAATTAACCAGAGCCACACAACTCTTTCCCTTCCCTCTGTAATTGTTATGGACTTTATTGGTTTTAAAACAAACAAAAACCACAGGGACTATGTAGCCCTGGCTGGCCCAAAACTCCCTATGCTGACCAGGCTGGCTCAAACTCATGTGAGTCACTTACAGGTGTGCCACCATCCTGGCTGGACCTTACTGATTTTAACAGTGACAGGAAGATGTGGTGCTTTTGTGCTATCAATGAAAAACAGAATGCGCTCTGCCTTGACTGTAAAAGTTCAGACACTCCATTATCATTAAGTAGAAGGTAGTGCTGGCTAAGCCCCTTCCTACAATTATTTCTACTGTGGAAGGTTATCCAAATTTATATATATAGCTTTGCAAAATTATACATCAGGTCTCCATCTATGCAGTACATTTCAATCATTGGCAGTGTATTAGATAATGAAAAACCTAGGGTAACTGAAACCACACAAACTTTACTTACTACCTGCTTCCCCGTTAGACTATACACATTGGAAACCTGCCTCAAACACCTCTATTAGAGATAGTTAAGAGAGTGCAAAATACCTAGCTATAACTGAAGTTTCGTTTTATTTTGTGTGGGGGATCCCACGTGCCAGTGCACATGTGGAGGTCCGAAGACAACTTATGGGGTAGTCGGTTCTTTCCTTCCGCCATGTGTGCTCTGAGGAAGGAACTAGGTTGCCAGGCTTGGTGGCCATTGCTTTTACCTGCTGGCACCTAGTTACAGTTCTTGAACGTTTATAGAATGTTGAATGTTGATGGTGAGACAGGCTGCTCTTTAAAAGACAGGAGTATATTTCTAAAATTCCTTAAGTGACTCAAGTTTATTTGAAAAGAGCTGATTCATGTTTCCAGTTTACTGTCACTGAGAAAACATCTTTTACTATGGTAGAATTCTGCTTCAATACATCCATGTAGAAACTGCACAGTGGAAGATATTGACCATTATTAAGTGTAAAGGCATCAAAACCAACTACCATTTTAAACTGCAGCTTGGGATATTCTTACAATCCCTTTCCTACAATGTACTGGCATACTCATTAACTGCCCAGGTTATGAAAACCACTTGCTATCCACTCCCTGACCATCAATCTATTTTTACACCCACACCACATAAAATAATTGCTGACAGACCAACCAGCTCATCTTGAGAATCTAAAAACCTTTTAGGTATCTTTAAAAGCAACTCTGAAAAAACTCCCCCCCCCCAATATTTTCACACACAATTTTCCATCCATTACCATGATAACAAAGCGAAAGGTGCTACACCTTAACAAGAGACTGAAGTAAAATAATTTTATTTTACTTCTTGTCTGAAAACATTTCTTAGCTCTTAAATGGGGGAGGGAGGAACTTCTAATTCTTTGGAGAAGGAAAAGTATTTCACAAGTAAAAATAGTACATTTATTGACAGTTGTACAAAAGATTCCAAAATATTTCATCATTGCAAGAAAATGTAATTTAAAGCTAATAAGTGTAATACACGGAATAAATGTCACTCATGAACATAGTCTATTATTTCTTACAAAGTCCTCAGTTAGGAACAGCGGGTATAAGGTATGTCTTTTCCAACATTTGGTTGTATTAGCTAAAAACCCTGGACCAACAGGACCTGAGTTTCAGGCCCCTCACCTCTCACATGAGGGTCCTGAATTGACCACCCTGGGCATCCTCAACCTACAAGTTTCTATCATTTGGTACAAGAATTCTATTTTGTACCACACTGCATGATTTGGATATATATATATATATATGGGATGAAGTAGTATTTGATAAATCCTATCAAGAGTGAGATGCTTTAACTCACAGCACTTTCCAAACCAAACCCCCAGATCCCTCCAGGTAAGTAGCCAAGCACATTTTCAAAGTATTTCTTCATCACTTAACAGATGCGGTAAGAACAACCATGACAGATGACAGTGATCAGCAGGGATAGCTCAGGCTATAGCTCCAAGTCTGTGTGACTTTGGGTTACTCAGAGTGAGAACCAAGGTTCCACAGCTCGTGTTTTGACACAAATAACGTCCTAATACCTCAAAGCATTTCCAAACTTTAAATTACCACACAGATACAAAGGGGTTTTGTAGCCAATCTAAGCTGACTTTTCTCTGATTTAGAAAAAGAAAAGAAATCTGGGTTTTAGAAAAATGCATGTTCCTCAGCCACCACTTAAAACCAAGGTGACTAAGGTCACCCTAGTCTCCCTGTTCCTGACTCTGCTTTCAATTGTACCAGGCCTGAGATTTAGATTATGTCTCCTAAAGTCTAGCAATCTGACCTGGAAACAGGAGAACCAAAACCTTCCTTCAGCCTCTGGATTCCTGGAGCAGGACCCAGAAAAACGAATTCTTTCAAAAGCTCCATCAGATAACCTTAACAGTCAGTCGGTTCAGTACGGGCACTTAGTGCTTTGCCCTGGTTCTTTCTCTGCTGCTACTTTGCTTGTTTGGGCATAAACATTTCTCTTATGCACCAGACACACCCTTCTCATTGCAGCACTCAGGATGCTAAGGATGGGTGTCGATTTCAAGGCCAGCTAGGGCTACAGAGAGACATTGTTCTTAAAGAAAATCCCTTGCACTGATCCTGAGTACACTACCTATGATGGGGACTTAGCTCAGCGGGAAATCAGACATTACAACCTTCTGCAATAAAAGAATGCCATGATAATTCATTTCAGCAGACAATGCGTGAAAGGTCCTATTGGTACCACTGGATTCTGCTTTCGTGGAAGATGAGAACACCATCTAATTAGCCGTTATCACCAACATGTGACAGAACTCCAAAAGCGAGCCACTAACCAGCTACTCCACATTCTTTATTTCCAGCAGAAATAAATGAGAACTTGAAAATCAATATTTAACTTCCTCCAGAAACCCAGAGACTTCACACTCAATAAATCTACCACACAGAGGGAAGTTGATACTATGAGTGTTTAAAAATATGTCCAATTAACCAAACATATCAGAATAAAGTTGGTATAATTGATCCTTTAGGAGCTTTAGCAACATGAATTGTGAAAATCACAAATGACATATTTGATATAATGTGGCTCCAAACACATCTCTTCCAAACTTAGCAAAACCACATTTGGATTTTCCAGGTGCCCCATGTGCATCTAAGAGCTTCGGAATGTGGTCATGTCTTTCGGCTCTCTGCTGGGGACACACCAGTCGTCAGCTTCATGGTTGGTTTTGTAATGCTTCCAGGCAGCTTTATTATACACGGGGAGTCTCTCGATGGATTCTGTTGACAGAGCCTGGGGTTGAAAAGAAGTTCTCTAAGTCAGGCATTTTAAGAATTCATTATCTGAGACAATATACGGTGGTAAACAATGACTACAGGTAAACAACATTCTACTGGCATCTTACCAATTAATTACTAACTGCATACTGTCTTCAGGGTGGACATATTTGAAACATGCTATTTACTGTATCTGTGGCACCAATAATACAGTGATTGGATTTGATGCTTCACATTCCCTAGCCAGCCAGTCTGGAAACATTTACCAAGGTAGAATAGACACTCTTGCAAAGTGCACGCCCAGCCAGGAGCAGCTACTTTAAAAAACTGGCTAAGTGTTAGAGCATAAAAATCAGGTATCTACCTTAATATAGTTTACAGATTTAATGAAAAGAAACCCAATCTTCTTCACTATGTAGTAACGTATTATTAAAAATGTTAATGCACAGGGATGGAGATGGCTCAGTGGTTAAAAGCACTTGTTCTTGTAGGGGACGGGGGTTCAGTTCCCAGCATCCACATGGTGGCTCACTACCATCTCTGACTCCAGTCCAAAATACCTGATGAGATCTGAGCTCCACATACATCAGGTAGGCATGTAGTACTCAGACATACATGTAGGCAAAACACTCATACACATAAAATAATCTTTTTAAAAAATTAAAAACTGAACATACCAATATTATCATCAATAAATATCAAGTTAAATCTAAGACATCTTGGCTTTTACATGAACAGTGCTTGCTCCTGTTTTTCCCCTCCCTGTGCCCAATGCTGGAGACTGAACACAGGTTCCGTGAAACAAGCTGTCTGTCACTGAGCAACATCCCAGCCCAAATTCTGGGCTTTCTTCTCCCACTATTAGAGTCAGTTTTGGTCACTGAACATTTATTTCTGTTTCCTGTACACAAACATTCATTCACCACTCTACAGCTTCCTGGAGACAACGGAAACCAGGGCTAACTACACTTCCTAGTACTGCCTTCACAGTAGGAATTTCCAGAATTTTGACAAAAGGCCACTGGTATTTCCCAAGAAATTGACAATCCAGAACCAGCAATTTCCTCCTGATGGTGCCGATAAGGTCTTTAATGTGACTAGGTGTGAAGACTCTATTAAAATGCTTGTATTCTAGCTTTTCCCAAATAGAAGAAATTTCTACCTGTGTGCTCTGAGTAGTCTAAACATATATCAAAATGTTATATTAGTGTTGAAAATACTGCACTGATATTGTCATATTTAAGTTCCTCACAATGACATGTTAAAAATACAAACAGGGCTATAAAGATTTAATCTTTTCAGGCCAACTTTTTTTTTTTTTTTTTTTTCACAAAATTCTTACGCATAGCCTATAAAATAGGTGCCATCTAGTGGCCAGAACAAGAAACTAGAGCACCAACCATGTAACCTGTGCTTTTAAAATAGTATTACATTTATTTATTTGTGTATTTGTGTGGTTCAAGCAGGTAAAGATGCTTGCTATGAAGCCTAAAGACCTGGACTCCAGCAATGTCCTCTGACCTCCACACATGCGTGCCCACACACAACACACTATAAATAAATACATCCAAAGTTTTAAAAGAACTACTTTAGGTGGCCGGGGAGAAGGCTCAGCAGTTAAGAGCATTGACTGCTCTTACAGAAGTCCTGGGTTTTATTCCCAGCACCACATGGTGGCTCACAGTCATCTGTAACGCCCCTTCCAGAGGACCTGATACTGTCTTCTCCAGGAGCATCAGGCACATATGTGGTACACATACCTGCAGGCAAAACACTCATACAAATAAAACAATTTTTTTTTTTTAGAAAAAATTATTTACTGGCAGTTGGGGAGCACTAGCCTAACATGTGGAAGGCCACAAGTTCACACACACACAAAGGTTGGGTGTTGTTATTGCCTGGCAAAATGGCTTAGCAGTTAAAGGTGGTTGGCCCCTGGCCTGATGACCGTGGTCAATCTCCAGAACCCACACGGTGAAAGGGAAGAACTAATTCTGGAAAGTTGTTCTCTGACAACCATGCATGTGCACACACATGAACACACACACAATAAACAAACAAGTGTGGGCTTTTGTTTCTTTTTTAAAGAGCAGTGATGGGGGATGTCCTTCTGTATATGTTTCTCTTACTGGTTGATGAATAAAACCCTGTTTTGCAGAGGATGAGGAGACAAGAATTCTGGGAAAGGAAGGCAGAGCAAGACTGCAAAACAGACACCATGTAGGCCGCCAAAGGAATAACAGGTCTGGGCATTCTCTGGTAAGCCAAGACCACGTGGAAATACTTAGATTAATAGAAATGGTTTAATAATTAAGACAGAGCTAGCCAATAAGAAGCCCTAGTCATCAGCCAAAATTTAATAATTAATATAGCATCTCTGTGTTTATTTGGGGCTGAGAAGGGTGGCGGGGCCTGGCAGGACAAGAGAAAATAACAGCAACAGAGCAGATCAACAACTGGTCATGTGTTTCACATAAAAAATAAATTCACTTTTTTTTTTTTTTTTTTTTTTACAGTGCTTTGGGTGAACTCAGATCTGTCCCGTACACTTAGGATTCTCTATCTTAGCCTAATCTTCTTTCTTTCCCCACTGCCCTCAACTATCAAAATGGGTGCATTCCCATATAACCATCATTTCATTTCATGAGGTTTAATAAAATCTCATTATACTTTTTCATTGGTACCTTTTCTTACCATTAAAAAAAATCTGGGTAAGGGTTTGGAGACCTGGCTTAGTGGTCCAGAGCACTGGCTGCTCTTCCAGAGGACCCAGGTTCAGTTCCCAGCACCTACATGGTGGTTCATAACTACAGTTCCGGGGGATCCCATGCCTACTTTGATCTGTAAGGGTACCAGGCATATTCACTGTACACAAATATACTGTAAAAATTAAAAAAGATATATTTTTATACAGTTAAATCAGGAAGTTTCAGTTATTACCTTAATATAGATAACAGCGTCAGTCCCGTAGCCCTCCAAGGAGTACAGCTTTAGGTCCCCCTGGAAGTACTGTGCATAGAGGCGTGATATGGGCAATCCATAACCAAAACCAGCCTGTGCAACAAGAAAACAAAGCTCAGTTCAAAGACCCACATCCTGAAACACTTTTCTAACTAAGACAATGCCAAAGAACACCGAGGAGCCATCCACACAGGCATCCGAGAGAGGTTGTAAAACACTGTGTGGAAGGATTAAGCTGGAGTTAGGCTGAGCCCTTTAGTGTACCAATTCTGGACCTAAAGCCCTTTACTCTGTCTATAAAACAACAGCGGTAGTCTGGAGAAGGCATATTGCTTTTCTTTGCTGTCATGCCCCAGGGTTCGCCAATACCACTCTCAGCAATTTCATATAAAGCACACTGTTTTGTTTAGGAGCAAAACTAGAAAGAAAATGCTGGGTTGCAGCTTTACTAGCAATAGATAGGAATCTCAGGACTTGACACCACGGATGCCCAGCCTTTGTTCAGAACCTGGAGATAATCTGTAACAGTCCACTGTGTTAGTTCTCACTGACAGATCACCTCCCTGCTCCAAAGTCTTCAAAGCATCCCACCATCCCACCATCCCACTCCCTGCCCTAGGGACAAAAGCCAAGCTCCTGGAAAGTTTCCGAGTCAAGAGTGGGTCTCTGCCTCCTGGTCGTTCTCCTATCTAGCAGAACCAACCTCCTTCCCTGAGTTCCTTAAACACAGGGTTTTGGGGGCTTTGTTCAACCATTTCCAGTACCCGGTCCCTCTTTACCTGGATAACTCCACAAACACTTGGCTCAAGGTAAAAACGGCTCCCACCTCCCAAACATGCCTTCGGTGGCATTCCTCACAGCATGTTATTCAGTGTTTGTGTGAACATAAGTGTCCTGCACTAATAACATGCAGAGGTGCTGGCTTCTCCTACTGATTTTCTATATTACTATTATTTGTGTGTTTATGAGTGCAGACATACACAGATAACTTTGTACCTGTGGAGGTGAGGACAACTTCCAGGAGTTGGCTCTCTCCTGCCATGTGGGATCTGAGGATCAAATGATGGCATTGGGGTGGTAAGGCAAGCATGTTTCCCACTGAGCCATCCCACTAGTACTAACTATTTTTATGTTCTAAACTGTTACTGCGTGTCCCTCCAATCAATTTCCAACTTTCTCTGCCCCCACGACTGAGCTGTATTCCTGTTTTCAGTTCTCAGAGGGACCAGTGCTGGCAAACCCCAGGATGGAAGGGGAAGTCAAGGAATCACTCCCTGGTTCTTCCCTGTTAGGGTGCTTTGTTTAGGTGTAAACAGCACCTAAACAACTATAGCTTAAGGTTCAGATGGATGAACTTAAAAGATTAAAACCTGGAGCCTGGGGAGATAGCTCAGCAGTTAAGAGTGATCCAAGTGTGGTTCCCAGCACCCACATGCTGACTCACAAACATGTACAACTCCAGTTCCAGGGCATTCAACACCCTTTCTGGCCTCTGTGGGTACTGCACATGTGGTGTACCTACATACGTGCAACCAAAAACTCACATACAGACAATCAGAAAAATTAATTTTTTAAAAATGCAAAAATCTGGGTGGGCATGGTGGCATGTCTTTAGTCCCGGAACACTGGAGGCAAAGACAGGTAGGTGGCTGTGAACTGAAGGCCAGCCTGTGTTTCATAGTGAGACCATGTCTCAAATATATTACAAAGAGATCAGAATTTCAGTTGAGTCTATATAATGAGGTCTTTTTAAATACAAATACTTGAGGGGAAAACATCAATATTAAAGATTAAGTCAATGATGACCAGTTATTACTACAATCCCTAGTTTTTAGTCTTCATAAGGAAATAGACTGTCATATATGGTTTACCACAGACAAAACTACTATGAGGTCACTACCAAGAGTAGCAGGAAAACAACCCTTAAACTATAATCTGTCTTGTGCCTACTTCAATTAAAAATTAATCCCAGGGCTGCTTAAATTTAGACAGAAGTGTTTGTCTCTAAAGTTTCAAAGCATTTTCCTTCCTTGTGAGCACCTGTGAAATTGGCTTTACTGGTTTTGGGGATACCACAGCCTGATGATGGTTTATGGATACATGGCTCTTCTGCATCACATACCAGGGGCACTGCACGGGATGTCTCAAAACGAGGCCGGGGTGCAGTTGAGTACATGTAGTTGAAGAGTCTGTCAATCTTTCTCAGTGGAACACCACCTCCCCGGTCACTCATCTAAAAGGAGAAAGACCATACTGTGACCAAGTGCCACACATTACAGTATCACAACTTAACTATTTCAGAGAGAATGCTGCTTTTGGAAACTGCAGTCCAGGATACAAACACAAAAGCTGCCCTCAATGGTGTAGCTAACACTAAGTTAATCCTTCCTGGTGGCCAATATGATATGATAACCAGGATAAAAATAAATAAAAAAGGCAAGGGCATGCTACACAGCAATGTTACCTCCTAAAGTTTATCCTAAGAAACTAAAGCATGCAAAGTACACATGAGAGTATCCATAATAGTTTTTAAAAAAAATCAGAGTAGCCCACATAGGGAACTATATAAAGTAAATTTTAAACAAAATACTACATAGTTGTTTAAATAAGTTAGAATTCTATGTATTAGCAGGAGAGATCTCTACAAAAAAAAATAGGCAACAAAGAACAAGTTAGAAATGTTCACAATTCTAATTTTGTAAGTATATTATAAAACAGAAGTTTGAAATGGGCTGGAGAGATGATTTCACAGTTAAAGAGGAATGACGGCTCTCCCAGAGAACTTGGCTGGTTCCCAGCTCCTACATGGTGGTTCTAAACCATCAACAACTCCACTTCCAGGGAGTCCAGCACCTACTTCTGATCTCCATGGGCACTGCACTCATGTGCACATAACCTATAAGCACACACACACATAAAAACTAATTTTTTTTAAGGAATTGATCATGGTGCTACACACCTGCAATCTCAGCATGTAGGAGACTGAGGCAGAAGGACTGTCACAATTAGAGATCAATTGTGCTACAATGTAATATCCTATCTCAAAACAATAAAGGAAGGGCCAGTGAGATGGCTCAGTGGGTGAAGACACTTGCCATCAAGCTTGATGGCCTGAGTTCAATCCCTGGATGCACATGGTGGAATGAGAATCACCTCCTGCAAGTTGTCCTCTGACCTCCACACCTGTGTACTCAACATGCACAGACACAAATAAATAATTGCAACTTTGTAACACAGAATTCCAGACAACATTTAGTGTGTTAAAGGACACAGATCTTTGTACTATCCTATCATTCTTCAAGTCAAGTAAACATATTATAAATTGAATAAGTAATTAACTTACACATTATTTTTACCGTTTCCCTTTATAATTTTCCTAGCCTATATTTTAATTTACTATAAACATTCTCAAAAAACAAACAAACAAAGACAAAAAAGCTCCGGGATGAGCATTATTTTCAGAGGCTAATTCAATGTTTAGCAGTCCTTCACTGGTAAGAAGTGTGGGTGTACTGAAAGCCCTGAGTGAGTGGTACATCACAACAGACCTTAAGACAGGGGAAGTGCTGCAGAGATGGCTCAGAGACTAAGAGCATTTGTTGCTCTTACAGAGGACCCCAGTTTGGTTCCTAGTACACACATGGTGGCTCACAACCATCCATACTCAATTTTCAGGGGATCCAGTAGCCTCTTCTGATATCCAGGGGCACCAGGCATGCATGTAGTACAGATATACATGCAGGCAAAATACATATAGAATAAATCTAAAAATAGTATAGTAATAATAATAATAATAATAATAATAACAATAATAATAATAAAGATGAATGGGGAACTGCAGAGATGGCTCAGTGTGTAAAGCACTCCATGTACCAAGCATGAGGGTGAGTTTTAGTCCCCAGTCTGCACAAAACCCGGTACAGTGGCACATGCATGCAATCCCTGTACTTCTACAGCAAGGTGGGAAGAAAAGCCAGGACAACTAACTACAGGCTGGCTAGCCTGGCTCACACAGGAGCAAAATCAGAGAGACGCTGTCTCACACAAGGGATAAGGTAAAGACAGACACCCAAAGTCATCCTCTGTCCAGCAAATGAGCACACCTGCACTCAACTTACATACCACCCACCCATACACACATGCGCCCGCATGTGAGCACACACACATCATTAAAAGGTAGTTTTGAATAAATGTTTCCTGGTTTTCCTTTCTTCTAGCAAAGACTAACTTTCTAGACAAAGAGACCACACTACATGGCATGTACTAAAGAAGTGATTCCTGGCCACCTGAGGAAAGCATGTTTGTGAGATGAGCAGAAAGGACTATGGGGTTGTGAGAAGTGGCATATTTTACTAGAGGTCAACAGGCAATCTAAGCCAGGGAATGTGGTGAGGCCTAAACAACCTTTGCTTTGCAGCCAACATGGCAAACAACTGGTGGATTATACAAAGCACATAAAGTACTGGGAGCAGTTTAAAAGATTTTTAAAAGACAGAGCCCTTTGGGGAAAGGAGAGAGGGATGAGGGAGAGGTGTGTCTTGGTGTGTACATTTAGGCAAGAGGAATAACATCCTGGAAGCAACTACACTGAGAAAGATTTGAAAACAGAACAAGACAACACTGTTTGACACAAATGTGAACCTGAGCCTGTGCCAAGAAAAGATCATGAGAGAGATGAGAGATGTTGAGAGGAGGCTGGGGAAGCAAGGGGTGCCAGCTAATCCCCCCCACCCCCCCCCTCCCCACAACTACCACCCCACCCCACCTGCCTTCCTGTCCCCCAGCACTGACTCTCTGAGCTAATTCACGTGAATCCAGGCCTAGAGAAAAGGAACGCTTCCTGACTCTGGTTTGTTTATTTTAAAAATGAAGCTGGAGATGGCTTCACAGTCACGAGCACTGGCTGCTCTTGTAGAAGACTTAGGTTTGGTTCCCAGCACCCACACTGTGGTTCACAATTATCCACAATTCTAGTTCCAGGGGATGCAGCACCCTCTTCTGAACCCTGAGGGTACCAGGCACACACATGGTACAGAAATATACATACAAACAAAACATTCATGCATATAAAATAAAATATACAACCTGAAAATGATTTTAGTCTACACATTTCACACAACTCTTAAAGCAAATACATCAAATTGTTATATATTCATGAATAAATAATCAATAAAGATAAACAAAAACCCCAAAGAAGACAGTACATGGAGCAGAGAAAAAATAATGAGTAAATAAGTTGCAATTTTAAATAAATAATGGTAATTACTACCTTTGGGGTAACAAAGAAGCCAGAGCAGAACATTGTGATAAGGAATAAGCACAAATTAAATAAATAAATAAATAAATAAATAAATAAATAAATATTCTTTAAAAATCTAAAGGATATTGGAAATAAAAATTCAATAGAACAAGGAGTCAGTAGTAGAAGGGACTGGTGAGATAGCTCAGTGGATAAAGGCACTGCTATCAAGCTTGCTGACCTGATTTCAATCCAAAAACCCACACTGCCAGGAGGAGAGAGCAGATTCCCAAGGAAACAGAAGGATGATGTTTAATACTGATCATCAACTGAATAGGATCTAGACTCACCTATAAGACAGTCTCTGGGCATGCCTGTGGGGGTATCTAGACTAAGTTCTTCTAGTCATGCCTGTGGGGGTATCTAGACTAAGTTCTTCTAGTCATGCCTGTGGGGGTATCTAGACTAGGTTCTCCTAGTCATGCTGGGGTGGGGGGTGGTAACCTAAATTAGGTATTTCTAGTCATGCACTGGGAGATTATCTAGATTAGATTACTTCTGGCAATACCAATGAGGGATTATCTTAAAATAACTGAGGTATAAAAGACTACTCCTTGGTCTTGGGCTTGCTTCCAAAGGAAAAGGCTAGTTGAGTACTAGTATTGTAGCTATTTCCTGACTATGGACGTGATGTGGCCTGTTACCTGTAGCTCCTCTGCCATTCCTTCCTCAACACAATGGACTGTGTACCCTTTGACTATCAGTCAAAACAAATCTTTCTCTTTCAAGTTGCCTTTCCCAAGAGATATTATCACAGCAACAGGGGAAGAAAATAAGACAAATGACTTCAGAGGTCCCAGAGAAAACAAAGGTCCACACTGACTCCAATCACAGGGAATTCCAGAATACAATCCAGAAAAAGATCTAGGAATTTTAGTTAAAACAAAACCAGATGCCTAAAACCATCATGCAAAGAAAGAGGAACTGCAGCAAATCTTCTGAACCTGAGGTTGTTCTCAGAAGGAATAACCTGGATGTCATCTGCAAAAACAGCAAAGACCCCAAAGTCACTCTTCCAACATAGCACCAAGAAAAAAGAAAAAGTGTAATTCTGTCAGGATTAGGAGCCTGAAGATGAACCCATGGAGAGGTGCTTGCTCATGGAAACACTGGACAGTAGCTCTGTGTAGTCCGGGCTTATTCTCATCTAGCCCTAGTCCTGGCCCCCACCCCACTGACAGGCCAGCAGTATGAAACTAGCCACTGACAGCCTTTATTTGCTCTGATTAGGTCCCCAGCACCCTGCCACTATTAAGTCTTAGGTCCCATTGGAAAAGTTGTCAGAAACAATTAGAAGTAATGGAATACTCTGAAGGCTTTGAGGACGTGGGCAAGCTAGAACAAGGAACAGGCTAACCAAAGAGTTTAGAAGGATATGGAGGGAATAAGATGGCCATAGGTTTTGAAAAGCTCAACCTTGGGAATCTAGAAGGCCAGACTCCGAGGGCTACGCTCCTATCCAGGACAGCCTCCAGAAGGCCTAAGCTCTCAAGACTACCTGACTGAGATCAGCCTGCACTAAGTTACTACATGTTGGGTAAACAGTGGTTTTTCAGGCTGAGCCTTACCTTGAGAGACTCCATTTTAAGGATGGAGGTGATGGACACCTGGGTGATATGTGAATAAGAACTCTGAAGATAATTGTTTGCATTGTTTTCCCAGTGTTGGTTGCATACATGGAATTGCAGGTTGCGGGTAACTATCGTCAGAGTCCTATAGGTACCTGGTGATCTTGTCAACTGGCACTTGGGGCTGGGTAGGGAAGGCACAAGCGTTCCACTGCTACATTCAAGAGAGCTAAGGCCTCTCTATCAACCACCACAGAAGGCCAGTGCATACTATTTACAGTGTATAATCCTCAGAATTAGCAATGCCAGAAGACTCCTCAGAAATGCAGTAAGCTCAGAACTGCTAAGACAAGCTGTGAGCAGTATGCGTGAATGGCCAGAAAGGGCAGCTGACTTTTATAATCTGTATGTCACCTGATGATTTAAAAAGGAGCACGATTAATCTAAGCAAACTGCTATCAGAGCAGGGAGACAGGAAGGCCGAGCAGTAGGCCAGAGAGCGGGATCTTAGGGCCTGCAGCTTTTATTCTCCATGTGACCCTAAACTCATCTCTGACCCTTAAGTTTCCCACAGCCATAAAACAAAGCTAAAATCACATGTGCTTCTGGGAAGCTGTGATGACCTGAAACAAAGCAGACAGAAAGCACTACTTAAAACTGAAGTGAGATTAACTTTCTCCATCACGCTGTAAGTGCCCTGTCTCCGGGTGTTCCTTTAGCCTGAATCACCTGATTAAGGATCAGAATAGAAACAGACTCAGAAGATAATTCGATAATTTGCCAGATAAACAAAGCAAAGTACTTATTATCTAGTTGACTGAAATTCTTTCCCTTGAGGATAAATTATGTATTATAGAAATAAGACCTATTATATTATTTTGGCATGCCTACATCTCCATTAAAAAAAATTACCTTCACAGTCAAATCCTCCTCACCCAGTGTGACATGAACTTGAATCGGGGGATAGACACCTTTGTCAGCATGGTGCTCCATGGTAGCCCTCATTGCATTCTGAAATACATCAGGGTTACATTAAAATATAGCTTTTTAAAAAGCAACCAACTACTTATAATTTTAAACATTATGTACACTATTTGAATTTTAAGTTTTCTTTGTCATTGGTTTGAAACTAAGGGAATTTACACCATAAAATGTTTTGACCAGTTTCTAAAAGACGTTGAGGCACACAGGCCAGCACTGTCTAAGCATGGAATAGTAACAGGACACAAGGCACTGGAGAAAAAACAATAAAGGCCAGAGGAAGCTTCTACTGACCGAGGAACTAAGAGAAAGAGCCCTGGCTACTAAGGACTGAGCAGACCTGAGGAGAGGAGACTGCACTGTTTCCACCAATCAGTTTAGTATTAGGTTCCAGACAAAAGCCACTGTCATGGGCATTATATAAATACGTCACAGCTTATATCAAGATTTATTGAGTATCATAGGGCAGGATCTTTACACAACTAAAATTTCAAGGGAAAACATGGTTCTAACGTTTTAAGGGCCAACTGTTTTAGTCATTGATAGATTTCGGTAGTTGTTAGGTGAATTCTTAATTTGTCAGAACAAAGTGCATTCTTCACCCTCACTTTCTTAGCTTCCTGTGTTTTAGTATGTTGCTCTTTCTTATTTTCTTTTTCTTTTGGATTCTCAGCCAGGTTCTTGCTATGCAGCTCAGGTTGGCCTGCTGCTTGCACCCTTCCTGTCTCCACTTCAAAACCACTGGGATTATGGAGTTACAGGTGTGTGCCACTACACCTGGCCAGCCTGTTGTTAGTTTGCATCATCCAACAGACAGCTACCTCTCTGCTCTTCTGGTCTATTGCTGGCCGAAGACTGGACAGCTAAAGTAGGAGGCAGTATAGGCCTGATCATTTTCAGCTGCAGGAACCAAGCACCATTATGAATCACTTTCTTTTAGCTAACAAGGTGGAGGGGTGGGGTATGACTCTCAACATGACCAGCATGCTTTTATCCAGTTTTCTGACCTGTTATAAACTGTTATAAACAGTTCACTGAGTCCAATATAAACAACTTTCCAAGGAAAAAAAACAGAACAAAGGCATATTATTGGGGCTGGCTCAATGGTAGAATGTTAGGAATTACTAACCAAATATTTTGGTCTATGAAAATATGAATATAATTTTACTAAGCATCTATTGCATGCTATGCTATTATGGCCATTCAGTACATCTTTCCCAGTCTTCACAAGTTTCCCTGGGGAATATCACCCTAGTTTCAAAGAGGACACCAAGGTTCAGAGAGGCTGAGTCATTTGCCCAAGGTCACATGGAGTCTTTTTGACTCCAGGGTCTGTGTGCTCTACTGTATGGCGGTACCCATCCGTATAGACACAAGGCCACTTCCAGCTAAGTGGCATGATATTGACATGAAATGCATATCTGAATGAAACACGAAGTCCAAGTGAATATGGTTCTTAGAACAGATTCCTAAGCTCAAGAAAGGACTGGTAAGAGTTTATGTAATACTATGTTACAAACCTTGAACAGTTCAAACACCATGTGATAGAGATGGGATGGTACATAAACCACTTGTATTGTCTGTCCTGGTGAAATCGCTATAGAGCAGAAGAGAAAAATATGAAAGTACAGAGAGATGCGCTTAGAGCATTCTTAAGAATAAACTGGAGTGATGTGCAGAAAACATTAGCTATGGAGGACGGTACTGGGGTGGGGGGTGGGGCTTTCACACCATTGCTTCACTGTCTCAGAGTTTGATGTGCAGAAAACATTACTTATGGAGGACCGTACTGTGGGAGGTGGGGGGGGGTGGCTTTCACACCATTCCTTCACTGTCTTAAGAGTCTGAGCCCTGTACTCACACTCATAGATGATGAGGACAAGAGTTCTGCTGCTATTCCTCAATCTGATGTAAGAAGTTAGCCACCGGTCCTTCTATGCTTTTCTATGACAGTAAATGTTAAAACAATTCAATCTTCAGGTAGGATTGTACTTCCTAAGATGTATATCTTAGGGAAAAAAATGTTTCATCTGAGTAGAACACCATCTATTTAATTTCAGATATTTCTGTGGATATGGCACTGGGTTAAATAAAAAAAATAAAAAAGCTACCATCATTTCTCAAGGGGTATGTGTATGCAACAGATCTCTGGGAGGACAGAGGGGTAAGACACCATACTTTGACTAATAAGTAACTGGACAATAAACCAAACTCTCTTCTAAAAACCTCCCACTTGGAAACATGAATGGGCTGTCTTGAAGTTGCCCATACAGCTCAAATTCTCACCTGTGTCACGAGATTCTTCCTTACTGGGTGGCACCCAGCAGAAAATCAGAATGGCAGGAAACCACAAGCGATTCTACCGCAACTGGGTAGCTACGCCACTACCCCTCTCAGAGGTCCAGAATGCAGCTTAGTTAAAGCCTATTAAAACATATTTCCTCCCATCACCTTCCCAAGGAGAGGTTTTCCTTGTTAAACTACCATCATCAGTCTCCTTCCAAAACCCTGAACCCTTTATCCAAAGCCAGGGTAGAGAGACCATCAGAGAGAAACGGACTCTCAAAACAGATGAGCGGCTTCCTTTGTCTCCACATGCCCAGTCCTCTGATTTCAACATAAAAATCAACTTACAATTCAGGAAGTAGAAAAAGGATCAACTTTGCTATGAGGTATACACAAAAATTAAATATAATTTTGTTGGTATTATTTTTTTCTCACTGTCTCTGAAAAAAATAGCAACAAATCAAAATTATCAGTTTAAAATAGAGCAAAAATAACACACCAAAATATCTGTCCTAAGAATCTGAACTGAACTGTGTGGTAAGTGTAGATGTGCACTGTACACATGTGTCTTCTGCCTTCACACTTAGTGAAGAAACTGAGTCCATTACTGTTCAAGCCAACCTCAACTTGCTCCTTGGTCGTCAGAACACCCATTACTGAGGATAGACGCCACCAGGCAGGCTTACCATTTAGTTCTTCAAGTTCTAGTTCAGGAGAGTTAACATAATACAAATCACAAAGCCGCCTAGCATTTTCATAGCCATCTAGTGTGAATCAAACAAAACAAAGAAGCATTAAATAAATTTACTTCCATCTTATGCAACAAGAGGCCAACAGCAATGACAAATGAAAACTTAAAATTCTCTGCAGAAGAAAATATACTTTAATCATCTTAGTGAGGGGAAAGTCTTTTATGTGACAAAGCCCTCTGAGCTGTAAGAAAATAATGACAGAAAGGGCCACAAAACTTTAAAATGTCAGCATGGAAAAACATACCATAAACAAAGCAAAAGAAAAACAACAGGCTAAAGAGATTATTTATACATTAACTATATATATATATATTTACATTAGACATTTTGTTTTTGAGGCATCCCAAAAACAGTTGGTGAGGGTTTAAGAAGTTGACACCTTTATTATCTGTTACCTTTTTAGAGAAGCACTAAAAGTGTAAATGCATAAAAATGTTTTTAATTTTAGGATTTATTATTATTGTTGTTGTTGTTATTGAGGTAATGGTCTTACTGTGTAACCACACCTAGTTTAATCTCAAATTCCCTGGCTGGCTCTGAACTCACAGAGACCAATGTGCCTCTGCTTCCTGAGTGCTGTGATTAAGGGTATGCAACACCATTCCTGGCAAAGTCTAAGATTCTTGACTTATACTAGCAAATCACTATATATTTAAGGATGCTTACTATAGATACTGTAACAGAAAGGAAAAAATGAAAACAACCTAAGTATATATTACAAGAACGATAGGTTATAGCACTGCACTATGTTACATTTTACAGAGCCACTCAAATGTAGGCTATGTCCATGTGGCTGTGAGTTTGCAGCAAAATGTTTGAAGCATTCTATTTTCTAAAAGCAACAAACATTGTGGCTGGAGAGATGACTCACAGGCTACTAGCCAGGGGTGGTGGTGCATGCCTTTAAAACCATCGTTCAGGGGGCAAAAGCAGTTGGATCTCTGAGTTCCAGGTCAGCCTGGTCTACAGAGTAAGTTCCAGGACAGTTGGGGATACACAGAGAAACCCTGTCTCAAGGGGGAACCCAGAGGACCTAGGTTCAATTCCCAGTATCCACATGGCAGCACATAACCGTGTGGATCCAAGTCACACTGCTTCTTCTGGCCTCCCAGAGCATCCGCCATGCACACCATGCACAGACATAACTGGAGGCAAAACATCCATATACTTAAAATTGTTTTCCAAAACGTAAATACAAAAACCATAAAACAACTTATACATAGATATGCATGTGATGTCAATAAAAAAAATGCTTGATAAAATGTAAATTATACTGCTATGAACTTTCACTTCTAGCACTGGAACTAGAAAAGCCAGTCAGAACCTGAATATTTCATTGCATTGATTTTCTGTGTATGTGTGTACATCTGTGGGTATGTACATGCCAAGGGGCACATACAGAGGTCAGAGGGGCAACTTTGAGGAGTTAGTTCTCTCCTTACAACTATGAGTTCTTGGGATCAAATCCAGGCTTTAAGGCTTGGCAGCAAGTGTGTCTTTACACACAGAGCCATCTCAGTGGCCCTTTTTCAGGGGGGATTGGGGAGAGATTTGAATTTTCTGAAGCAAAACAGATAAATACACTTACTAATATCACCAAACTTTACTAGCAGAAAATTCTAACTAGAGGGCATTACCTCATACATTGCATAATTCATGTCATGAAGTGATTTCCAAACCTAATGTTTGTTTCTAACAGTTTTCTCTCATGACACAAGCAGTAGTTATAAGGGAAAGAACAATATTCAGCACTTTGGTGATTTTCATATCCTTCTAGGAAGGACAAATATACTTACCTTTAATGACTTCGACTACATCGCAGTTTGGATTTATGCTTCCAATGTGTTTTCGATGAGATGGGCTTCCTTTTCCACCAAACAATAAAGCTATCAAAAGCGAAAAGCCAAACAAAGTAAGCGCATTTACCTAACACCCCTTTCCAGATCCAAAGGATGTTTCTCTAAATGGTACCAATAGTCGAACAAATATTTTCCTTAAGCGTAAAGATGATATTTTAAAATCAGTAAAACGCCTTCTTTGTATAGCAGTAATGGTCACTTTAAAGGGACATTTTTCTAAATAAATTTAAGAGTGCTACACACATTAAATAGCTACTTCTTTCAATTTTGGGACACTTACAGTGCTGGTTGAGTAACATTCTAATTGAAATGCGACTCATGTAGAATCGATCCAAAAAGTACTGGACATTTTGGCTGGTGACAGGATCCACCCCGAAGCTCTCCTTGTATTCGGTCACACCCTGGGCCATGGTTGGAATGACATCATTGTGCCGGTTTCTGATCCTTATCACTGTGTCTGTGAATCTAAACAAACCTCTGTGTCAAAACATCCAAATATTTTGACAAGAAGTGATGTTAAGATACAAGCTGAAGCTACAGAAAGCACTAGTTCAGAGAAAGGAGCACCAGTGGTCAGTGAAGGCTTTCCCACACTTGTTTAAATACATTTCAGGTCATAAAATACACTGAATCTACACGTACAAGGATCTCCAAATAGAAAACTTTCAGAATTTTTGGATTCCAATAGGGCTGCCACACTACACTGAGCAGTGTTAAGGGTTTCCCTTGTCCATTGTTATCTAAACATCTGAGGGCACTAAGGACAGCATTCCAGAGACACACTGCCAATGAAAGGGCCCTTGCTTCTAGGGAAAAGCTCCACAGTGAGTCAAGATGCATAAGCCAAAAAAGTGGGCTGTGGATCTTCTCCCTAGAGTTCAAACAGAGAAGAAACCACTAGGAACAGAAAGGCAAAAAAAAAAAAAAAAAAAAAAAGAATCCTGAATTCATCCACCCTGAACTTACAAAGTGGGATACAGAAGTCTTAATTGTGATGTAACAAAACCAGTCTCCTAACCTAGCCATTACTAAATTCACACTTCCAAATGAGTGCTTTCCCAAGACATCAGCTTAATTAAGTACTGTTTAATTTAGTCCAATGGTTTTCTCACTGCTTAAAACACTTTTGGAATTCTTAGTTGGTAACAAACTTCAAAAGCAAGCTATTAAGGAAAATAAAAATTATAAAAAATTCCTCAAAAACAACCATCACCTGGAAATTACAATCTCCTCCTTATTTGTTTCTCTCTTTAAAATAAAAACTTTTGAGCAGGATAGAGTAATTCACCTGCAATCCCAGACAGACTGAAGCAGGCAAATCACTGTGGACTAGAAGCCAGGCTGGGCTACTCAGTGATTTCCAAGAAAGACTGGGCCACATATAAGACTCTGTCTCAGAATACAAAAACTGGCCTGCTGAGACAGCTAAGTTGGTAAGGTGCTTGTTACACAAGCATAATGACCTCAGTTGAATCCACACAAACTCTTGTAAAATTGCCAAGCACAGTGGCACACGTTTGTAATCCCAGTCCTGGAGAAAAAGATTCCTGCCTGGAGTTCACTGACCAACCAATCTAGCCTAATTGACTCTCTAAGCCAAGAGATCTCATTTCAGAGTAGGCAGTTGGCAAGCACTCTAGATACCGACACTGGAGATTGCACTCTGGCCTCCACACATGCACAGGGCCTGCATATGCATGAACATGCACAGGCAATCATAATTTTTAAAAGAATATAAGCCAGGCAGTGATGGCGCACAACTTTAACCCCAGCACTCAGGAGGCAGAGGCAGGTGGATCTCTGTGAGTTAAAGGCCAGACTGGTCTCCAGAGTGAGCTCGAGGACAGCCAGAGCTGCAACACACAGAAACCCTGTCTTGAAACCCGCTCTCCCCCCAATATAGATGATGGATATTTTCAAAAGGTTCTACAGTAGCAGTAGCATTTATAGAATATTTTATCATTTACGTTTTTGCTTTGTTCCTAGTCCCACCATTTACTAGCTACAAGACCCCAAGCCACAACCCTCTTTGTGCATAAACACACTATCTCAGTAGACTTGTTTTAAATACTAATAGAGAGTGATCTGATGAATATTATTTTCAAACCAGAAACATGTTAAAAAATGCAGTAGTGACATTCCTTAAAAAAAAAAAAAAAAAAAAAAGGTCCAAAACAAAAAGTATGACAGATTCTGAGGACAGTGGTCTTAATACTCTAATAATATTCATTACAAGCAAATAACTGCTATGTAACCAGCTGGGCTGATCAACTCTGGCATCTAGGCTATGAAATTGAGCATAGGATTTACATTATCCTATAAATCACAGACCACAGAAACCCAGAGCTATTTCTTTAAGATTTTCTAGACAGGATTTCTCTGTGTAGCCCTGGCTGTTCTAGAACTCACTCTGTAGACCAGGCTGGTCTCAAACTCAGAGAATCACCTGCCTCTGCCTCCCTCCTGAGTGCTGGGATTAAAGGTGTCTACACCACCAACCCAGAGCTATTTCTTAATAGCCGTTCTAGATAACAAAAAAACATAAGCAGTAGCCATGTTTCAAAATTAGAGATCTTTAAAAACAGAAAATTTCTGATTATCCTGGTGGCATTTGCACACATCAATGAGCAGTGGGAGCAGAGGGCAGCTGTCCCTTTGGAAGTGGCATGCCCTCCCCAGGAGGTCACATCTATGTTTTCACTCATCGTCACATCGGAATTGCCTCTTCTTACAGAAAAAGGGGATGTGGAATGTGTTTTACATCCATGCCATCTCTGTGGTTTTTACTGTCTTGCTGTCCTCAGTACCTGTGTGGGCTGCTATAAATGAATACTGTAACTATGCTTTAAGTAAAGAAGGCTCGATGTTAATCAGTTTCCTTAAAGTAGGCCAACACTTTAATATGGTGTTTAAAGAATATAAAATCTGGACAGAGGCGGGTGCATCTCTGTGAGTTCTCTGTGAGTTCAAGGCCAGCCTGGTCTACAGAATGAGTTCCAGGACAGCCAGGGCTACAAAGGAAAACCCTATCTCAAAAACAAAAACAAAAACAAAAACAAAAACAAAAAAATCCTATTCAGAATAGGATTACACAATTATACTTACTCATAAATAGTTTTAGCATCTTCAGCACTTTTGTCCTTAAAATCAAGCAGCTCCTGAAGACTCTGTATATACCTAAAACACAAATCAGAGAGCTGAGTTTATTCATATTGTGAAATTAGCAAAAAGAATATTTTTAATATTTTATAATTTTAAATTTAGAATATGCCTATAAATTATGTTTGAAGTATGATTGTTGTTGTTTTTTTTCTTTCTTTCTTTCTTTTTTTGTTTTTTGAGACAGGGTAAAATGCAGGCCAGGCATATACCACCAAGCCCTGCTTCAAGTGGTACCGGGAATCAAATCTAGGCTTTGTGCATGCAGAGCAAGTGCTCTATTAGCTGAGCTACATGCCAGTCCTGAAATAGGATTTTTATAGCCATTAGCATTTGAGAGATGGCTCAGTGGTTAAGAACACTTTCTGTTCTTCCAGACAACACAAGTTCAGTTCCCAGCACCCACAGAAGACAGATTATAACCATCAGTGCCTCTAGCTCCAGGTGACCCAATACCCTCTTCTGGTCTCTGTGGGCATCCACACACATTGCATACAATCATGTAGACATAGATAGACAGACAAATACACACACACACACACACACACACACACACACACACACACACACACACAAATCTCAAAAAAAAGAAAACTGCACACATATTTTTACCATTGAAATCACAGATAAGGGCCAGGCATGGTAGTACATGCCTTTTGCCCCAGCATTTGGGAAGCAAATAGACCTCTCTGAATTCAAAGCCAGACTGGTCCACATAGCAAGTTCTAGGACAGCCTGAGCTAAACAGTGTGATCCTGTCCCAAAAACAAAAACCAAAAAACAGCTGTTGTAGAATATTTGTTTACACTGTAAAGATGTGTCTCTGCCTAAGGCACCTTCTGATTAGTTTAATAAAGAGCCACATAGCCAATACCTAGGCAGAAAGAACAGGCAGGACTTCCAGGCAGAGAGAAAAACTGGGAGAGGGAATCTAGCTGCACAGAGTCAGCAGAAGACACAGGAAGAAAGGGACGTACAGTATGACGCACATGGCAGAATGTAGATCAATATAAATAGGTTAATTTAAATTATAAGAGCAGGTTGAAAACAAGCCTAAACCAAAGCTGAGCTTTCATAATTAATAAGTCTCTGTGTTGTTATTTGTGAGCTGGTGGCCCAAAGAGAAATCCAATACAACTAATAAGGAGTGTGTGGTGTCCTTTGGTGGTAAAGTATTTGCCTAGTATTTGCCCCTCATCACACACAAAAGCATAGGTCAGTAGGCCAAATTTGAGTTAAGAGTTAAAGATTTACATTCTAAACCCTACAAGTTTTTTAATCTTTCACATCACACTGCATATTAGATTACAAATACTGCATCATGAGAACTGAACTGTCACTACTAACAATGATCATGGATAAAAATGCTTGTCTTAGTCACAGCAAAATGAGGGGTATACCTTGCTCTAAGAGTCTAACTTAAGTGTAAGCGTTTGTTTTTAAGACTTTAATTATACCATGAGTGTAAAGCCAACCTGGTCTACAAAGTGAATTCCAAGACATGCTCCAAAGCTACAGAGAAACCCCACCTCAAAAAACAAAAACAAAAACAAAACAAAACAAAAAACCCTTAAATGTTTAGGTCCTGTCAACAAGTACTTACTGAAAGCCTACAATATATCATATAGAAAACACAAAGGCAATTAAAATGTAAGTTTTTAATTTACCCAACAATCCAAGGTAGGTGAGCACTTTAAGACAAAACAAGAAAGACCAAATGACTTTCTCAACATCATACAGCTAAATATAAGGGTACCACAGGGCCAGGGCTGAAAACACCTCCACAGCCATTAGGTTATCTTTACAGTATAAATCCCGCATGATGTGCCTGGAAGCACTTCACACAGCCCCTACTTTGCAGGGATAGGGCAAGGAAAGTGCCTCTAACATCTGACAGTCCCTGTGCTAGCCTGACACTGGACCTTGCTGCATTAAAAAGCCCAGTGATTCCCATAGCTGCTTTGGCCCTGAAACTTCTCTGCATTGGTAAGAAAAAAAGCCTTTTAGACCAAGAAAATGGTCTTTAGGAGACATTTAAATCTCTCCCCATTAGGAGACAAAATCAGATTTGAAAAAGCAGGATAATCTAGTTTTCATGAACTGTAAAGAATGGGAAAGTCTTCCTTAGAAGATTAAATTTTCTCCTGTGTATCCCATGATAGTCTCTGAACCACTTTCTCACTTAACTACATGAACTAGCTAACCTCTGGGGACCAACATGCAGCAGTTATTCTTTTGCTTATTTCGTATTCTGTCTCTCTCTGTCTCTCTCTCTCTCTGAGTGTGTGTGTGTGTGTGTGTGTGTGTGTGTGTGTGTGTGTGTTCCTTCAGGCCAGAAGAGCTTGACACACCCTTCAGAGCTGAAGTTAAAGGCAGTTATAAGTGGCCTGACCTTGGTCCTCTGGAAGAGCAATAAACACTTTTAAACACTGAGCCAACTTTCCAGACCCTTGTTTATCTTCTTTTGATAATGACTTATTTTTAATTATGTGTACAAATATGTTGGGGGAATATGTGCACATGTAAGTACACGAGTTCTCAGAGTCCAGAAGGTGTTAGATCCCTTGCAGCTGACGTTACAGGTGATTGGGAAATCTTCAATGTGGGTACTGGGAGTAGAATTATAATTCTTACAAATAGAAAATTAGCCTTTCCATTAATCATAATTGGGAAATGTTTTGCAGTTACTTCTCCCCACACACACACTTAATACTTGACTCTGGACACATATACAAACAAAAATTTTGCTTAATATTTTTCTCCCTAGCATGGCACCTCATGATTTTAATTCCAGTACTGGGAAGGCATAGGCAGGAGGATATCTGTGAGTTCAAGGTCAGCCTGGTCTAGTATATACAGTGAGTTCCAGGCTAGCCAGAATACACAGAAACCCATCTCAAAATAACAAAAGAAATTGGCTTGTAGCTGGACATGGTAGCATACACCTGTAATCCCAATTCCAAGGAGGTAGAGGCAAGAAAATCTCTGCATGTTCAATGTCAGCCAGTTATGTACCATGAGCTCCAGGCTGCCCAGGACAGTCTCCCAAAATAACAACAAGGACCAAGAACCAAAAAGATGGCTCAGTAGGTAAAGGTACTAGCACTTAAGCCTGGCTAACAAAAAATTTGATACCTGGGACCCACATGGTAGAAGGAGAGAACTGATTTATGCAAGTTGTTCTCCAACCTCCACAGGAATTTGAGCACATGGGCTTGTTCTCTCTCTCTCTAACTCTCTCTCTCAAACATACACACACACACACACACACACACACAAACACACACACACACACACACACACACACACACACACACACACACACACACACACACACACACACACACACAAAAACCACACACACACACAGAGAGAGAGAATGCTTAAAATATAATTTAAAACAAGTTAAAACACTTTAAAATTAACAACTAGGCTGTGGTGATACATGCCTATAATCCCAGGTTTAGGGAGGTGAAGACAGGAAGATCTCAAAATAAATATTAAAAATAAAGGTTTGGGACAGGAGGCCACATAAAAAACGTATATAAAACTTCTACTAACAGGCTAGAGAAATGGCTTCAATGGTCAAGAGAACTCCCTGTTCTTCCAATGGACCTGGGTTAGGTTTTCAGCACCCACATCGCAGCTCACAAGCATCTATAATTCCAATCCAGGGGATCCAATGCCCTCTTCTGGCCTCCACAGGCACCAGACACACCTTTGATGCACAGATGTACATCTAGGCAAAAACACCCATACACTTTTTTTTTTTAATTTAAAAACCTTTTATTATCATTTTTGGGATACTGGAAGGGAGGAAGTGATCAATGCACACACTACACCACCACAATGAACTCATTAATACAGATGTTAATAAAAAGCAGAATAAGAGTTGTAACTTTTGTGATTTTTTATTATTTGAAACAGAATCTCACTTAGTTTGAGTCTGGCCTAGAACCTGCTGTGGAACCAAGCTTGACCTTGAACTTCTGATCCTTCTGCCTCCACTTCCCAAGAATGCTGCCGTTACAGGTTCTCACCACTTCCTCTGGTTTATGCAGTGCTGGGGTTGAGGCCAGGACCCAGTGCATGTCAGAAATTACTCTATCAACTACACCACATCGACATCCCCTAGCCTTATAATTTACAAAAAGATGTACTTCACCAAAACAAACTGGCTTTATAATAAAATAATGCAGCTCTGAATACATGTCATCATTCAGAAGACACCATGACATAGCAGCAGCAGACAAATCCAGACTTGAAACCCAGGACTCCACTCTCTGTGCTTATACCCAAAGGACTGTATAGTATCTTAGCTTCCCCACCAGTAAAGGGAGTGGATCACACCTACCAGGCATAGTTAAAAGACTAAAAAGAAATGTATATACGTATACAGTCACCAGCAAAGGCTGGGCATTTTTCTCATTAGAATAATACTCCTGCAGAGACATAAATCTTAAACTTAGTATTTCTGTGCGGGCCTAATTGGTTTTCTCAAAACTCAAGTACAGTGTTGAGAAGACAAGATACACAGAGAGCAGAGGATTGCCTTGATTGCTTTTTGCTTTAAGATTCTACTGAAGAGCATGTGCAGGGCAAGAGAGGTGACCCAACAGTTAGGAGCACCTGCTGCTCTAGGGGAGGACCCACACAGGGGCAGCTCAACTGCCATAACTCTAGTTCCTGGGGATCTTGTGCCCTCTTCTGGCTGCACATATGTGGTACATCTATACACACACACACACACACACACACACACACCAAAACAAACAAACAAACAAACAAACAAATAAATAAATAAAGGCAGGGCATGGTGGTACAAACCTTTAATCCCAGCACTTGGAAGGAAAAATCAAGCAGATGTTTTTAAGTTTGAGACTAGCCCGGTCTACATAAAGTTCCAGGCCATCTGGTACTACATATTGGGACCCTATCTCAAATAAATAAATTAATCTACAACACTTGGAAGACAGAGACAAGTGGACCTCTCTGAATTTGAGGCCATCCTAGTTTACATGGTGAGTTCCAGTCCAGGAGGAGCTATATGAGACCCCATCTCAAATAAATAAACAAATAAAGTAATAAGAAAAAGTATTTTCTTTAACCTTGAACCTAGTCCACTGAAACTGTAAACACAGGGTGGGACTCTTACCAACTTTGTACCAACTGTACTGATGGCGTCCTGAGAAGATTGTCTGGAAGAAGGCTTATTTCTTTCATTATATTTGCCAATCTAACAGGCAACTCTTGTCGAAGAAACATAAATGAGGTCTTTTCACAAGCATTTACTGATCCTGAAACCAAGCACAGTGGAAAAAGTAGTAAGTAGAAGGTACAAGCTATGAGGATCCAGGAAGTGAGGGGAAAGGGGAGTCACTTGGCAAGGCCATGATGGTAGAATTACCATAGTGAGAAGAAGGGGCTGGGAAGCAAAGATATATCCAGGCAAGGTTGAGCTAACTGGTCTACAAAGAAACCCTGACTCCAGACTGACATTCTAATTTCTGATATTCCAACCATTCAGTAGGTACTTTGTTAAACTTTGCACTTACTATCCATTTAGGTATTAAGATAAATTGAATATGACTGCTTTAAGGCTTGGGGCTTATGAGTAGAGGTGAGAAAAGCCCATTCTATGTGCCCACTGCTGCTACCCTTTAGAAATTCTGATCCCTGACTCTGAGTAAATTTTGACCAGGTATTTCAAGATTGACTAGACACAAATACCAATCACCAGAATAGAATCAGTACAAACAAGGTTTTCAGGCAACAGAAGGCAAAGACCACCAGCACCAGTCAGCAACCATCAAGTAGAACCTACTCAACTGTCTGATCCCTGGGAAATTCACCTGCCCTTCTCCACTCTTGTATCCAGATGTTTGGCAGTATAGTTAATGAGTATTCATCCCGTGGCAAGCTGCTTCACTTAAACTAAAGTCTTATTTCAGCACTCCTTTTGAAACTAATTCAGTCTTGCAGATGAAACCCTAGCAGAAACTATCTTGTCAACAGTAGGAGTATTATTAAGGAAAACATCTTGCAAAAGTTTAATAGCATATCCATGAACAAGGTGAACAAGGTACTGCACCACAGTACAGGCATTTAAAAATAACAGCAAAAAAAAAACACTGGACTTTGGCGTACTCCCTTGAAAAACAAATACAAGAAAACCACCTGTCACTGCAAACCACAATTTTAAGATAAAGCATCCAGCCATGCCTCTTATCTCTTATGCCTGCCAACCATGTTATAACGTGACAATATGACATAGAGATAACTTTTTTTCTACTGCAGAACTTTTGGATTTCAATGTAAGAATTTGCATTAAGCATTCCCCCCTCCCCATTACTCCTGAAGAGAACTCAAAGGCCTAATTCTACAGGTCCTTCTGCAATTCTGTATCACACAGACAAGATCACGCACTTTACACGTGCTTGGGGCTGACTGCTGACGAAACGAACTTGCTCTCGGTGGAAACAGTGGCGAGGAAAGAACTGGGCCAGTAGTAACTTGTTTTCCTGCCATCACGCCACTCTAGACGATCATCGATGTGCTGGCACTCATCTTGCCTCTGCAGAACGCCACCCTCGAAGCCGTGTGCGCTCTGGCCTTGAACCTGAGCAAGGCTCCCCGGAAGACACCGGTCCCGAGCTCGTACCTGCGCACGTGCGCGGAAGGTTGCAGCCCGCGGGGGGCCCCTGCTTTGTTTCTCTCGCTTACTACGGTCTCAAGCCCCGGTTACGTGCCCGGCCTGCCAGCGCCCGCACCCTCCGGGGAGGAAGGAAGCACCTAAGACACAGGGGAGGCGACAAGAGGGAGGAGGGGTGTGCTTGGGAGGACCCGGCCCGCA